AGACTCTCAGGGGGCCCGACACCTGGTCCGTCGAGGCTCCCGGGCTCATTTCACACATGTAGTCTCGGGGACCCGGAGGGGGACCCTGGGCTGGTCCCCGTCTCCCACAGGGCCGCGTGCACCGTAAAGCCGCTCACCTGGAGTCTCGTGCAGGTGTGAGTGATGGACGGAAGTGCTTCCTGCCCCACAGCCGGCCCTGAGCTCACCGGGGTGCAGAGGGGGTCGTGGGCGGGGGACCAGGCGTCTTCCAAGGTGGGTGCAGGACCAGCTCCCAGCTCCGCCTCTGGGCACATGTGCAGTTCCATGCCGAGGGCAGGGACACGGAGTGAGGGTGGGAACGGGGGACGGCAGCCTCTCCCCCAGCTGCCCCTGCCCAGGCGGCCCCGCACGCTGAGTCCTGGGCTTGCACCCCCGAGGCAGCCCCTCTGGGTCCTCTCCTGGGGTCCTCAGAGGCCTCGGCTGTGGGGAGGGGCCTGAACCCTCCCGGCTGCGGCCTGAGATGCAGAGAGGGGGCGTCCGAGGCTCAGACAGGCCTGCACTGTGGCCCCCGACCCCACGCGCGCCCTTCAGTGCGGGCACCGGGGTCCCGAGGAGGGAGGGCCGTCTCCGTGTCAGCAGCAGGGCGTCCCCCCACGGCCGCGGCCTCTGCTTTATTCCCGCAGTGATTGCGAACAGGCGTCCGCCCAGCTGGAGGGGCCGGGCGCGGGCGGGGGCGGCCAGTCAGGGCGATGCCGCTCAGGTGTGCACGCGCGGTGACACACGCGGTGACACGCCCACCTCGCACACTCCGTGTGTGGCTCACCGCACGGCGACTGTGCCTCGACAAAGCTGCTCTCGAAACCCCCAGAGCTTCTCACAGGAAATAGAACAAAACTCCCAGCCCCGAGTCCAGCGGCAGCTCCCGCTGACCGCCCGGCCCCCGGCGCCTCCCCACGGGCATCCAGCTCCAGCCTTGGCTCCGGGCTCCGTGGTCCCCTCTTCCTGCACCCCTTCCCCCAGGAGCTCAACTTAGCGGCCAGCTCTTGGAGGCTGTTCCTGACCCCTGTTCTAAATTAGAACGCGTGTACACACACCGACACACAGACCTATGCCCTGCCACGCACACACCCTGTAACACACCCCACATTCGCACACGCACCCCATCACACTGCCCGGCTTCGCTGTCCTCGGAACACAGTGTCGCGTGGGGTCTCAGTGTCCATGGTTTGGCCACTTGGTTACTGTCCGCCCCCCGCTACAGCAGCAGATCGACCGTCCTGGTCAGTGCCTCCTCCACGGTCTCTGGAACTTTCCTGCGGGGCAGGTACTCTGAACACCTGTTGGTGGCTGAGGTTTTGTCTCCCAGGGTAGAGGCTGCAGCAGTGACCAGGGCCCCTGGGGGGCCTCAGGTTCACCCATGCATGTTCTCTCCGCCCCCACCTGGGCCCTCCTGTGCCCCTCCACGTGGGCGTGCACCGCCGACCACAGCATCCCTGTGACAGGTGCTGTACACACCTGTGCTGTCTTCCCCCTCGAATGCAAGTCTGGCCAGTCCTGGGCCTCGGTTTCCTCACGCAGCGGAGGGCGAAGCACACCTGCCCCACAGGTAGCCGAGGACCAACCACGTGTGCACGCCCGGTGCTCTTGACACACGGCCGGCTCTCGCCAATGCTGGCGGTGTCTACACGGCCCGGAGTCTGTTCTCCAGGGCCACATGGCGGGGTTCACGGGCTCACTCCGGGTGGGGAGGTCCAGCATCCCCCCCTCCCCCGGTGGAGTCCACTCGTTAGTACATGACCTGGACACTGGAGGCGGCACACGTGGGTGGTTCCGTGTAAAGTCTGAACGTGGTTCTGAATATTTGCTTTAAGTCTACAATTATTTCCATGGAGTCTGCCTGTAAACTCACGTGTCTTCTCCTAAATTTACACAGAGCCACGGACGCCTTAAACAGGTCCCTTCTGAGCACCGGGTCACCCCAGCCCAGGCTCACCTACCCGCCCGCCAGCCCGAGGATGGAGCACAGTCTCTGAGCCTCGTCCAGTTGTCATAGCGAACCCGCCACCAGAGGGGCCCACTCGGTGGAGAAACCGAGAAGCCACAGAGAACTGCGCCCAGGGGGACGCTGAGTGGACACCGCACGGGACAGGGGGCCGCAGAGGACGAGGTCAGCACAGTGGGAGACTGACAGGGCCCCAGCGGCGGACGCCAGACCTAAGACGCGGATGGAAACGTCCTGAGCACCATGGCGCTGCAGTGACGGGTGTTAACGTGACGTACTGTGCTTGTCTTTTGCAAAACATACAAGTATTGAATCGCTGTTGCACACCCCAAATCATCACGATGTGGTAGGTCCGTTACACCTCAATAAAAAGGGAAGCAGGGCACTGGCCAGTGTCACGAGCTGAGCAGCCCCGTCCCCCGCAGCCCCAGCACGCACACCCGGACTCTCTACACAAGGCGAGACAATATTCCAAAGGCTTATTCAAGCCCTCACGTGCGGACTCGAGGTTCCGAGGACTCGCCGAAGGCGGCGCAGGAGATGGCCGTGCGGGGCGGGGCAGGGGGTGATCGAGCACGCAGCGGCCTGCCGGGGGGCTCCCGCCCCCCACTGCATGGTAGCTGAAGAGGGACAGCACATTGCACGTGCCCGTGTGACGCAGAAGCCCAGGCATCTCGTGAATCAGCGCGAGGTTTCGGCAAAGTTAAAAGATGGCGGAACGTTTTATGTGTAAACGTTCCCATTACGATCACGAGCAACATACAGGGATACAGAAAAGGGTTTAGGGGAGACTGTCACACAGCGGACGTGCTGTCAGACCGTGCGGATCACGTCTGCCTGTGTACGAGGTGTGCGGGCAGCGTGTGACCGAACCCTCCACCTCCTGCGAGGAAGTCACCAGTGCATCTCGACCTGCAGACACTCGGGGCATGTGCCACATCCCCGCCCTTCCTCCCACGCCCGCCGGCGGGTGTTCCCGCCCCGCCGTCCCCCAGGTCCCCGAGAGAGCAGGTGAGGGCCGTGGGCCGTCACGGCGTCCTGAGCTAGACTGTGCTGGGGACACGGTTGTCACCGGGTCAACGCCGGCCGTGTGAGTCCCAGGGTGGGACTTGACCCACGTGTGTCCTTCCGTCGAGAGACTCGGCCCTGTCCACCTTACGCAAGCAACAGACTTGGCAGACCACACCTGTTTTAAGGACGCTGAGATTTTATTTCATGACCACCACGCACGTCACTGCTGAGTGGCACTCGTCACCGTCCGGCGCTGCGGACCGCCTTACCCGCGCGGCCCTCTGCAATTTCTCCTCTTCGGCAGCTGCGTGTGGGCGGTAAGAGGCCGCGGGAGCCGGTCCCCTGCGTGGAAAGCACACTCCTCACGCGTGGGGAGTGGAGGCCTTGCTCCCGCGTCTCCCGACACGCCAGCTACGGGGCCCGCGCACGCAGACGGGTGACAATCGGACTCCCCGCTGCGAGGAAGACCGCTCCTCCGTGACGCGCTTCGCCGGGGACTGAGCGAGGAGAAAGTCCGAGTCTGAGCTCGAGGAGCCCAGTGTTCTCGCTCCCGGGCGCGGGCAGGCGGGGATGCGGGGCCGTGAGGAGAAGCCGGCCCGCACTGTCTCCAGACGCGGTGGCCCCTCCTGTCCACGGGGGCTACACGCGAGGCACATAGCACCTCACGCCATGCCGAGTTGCTGGTGCACCTGGGACCTCGCTCAGAGGGACAAACAGCACTTCACCTCCGTCCACGTGCTGCTCTGTGTCCGGTCCCCGCCCGCAGCGGGAGGCCCGTGGGGGATGCCGCAGTCACGTGACCAGGGCGAGGGACATTGAGAAGGTACTGGACGGAGGTGGAGAAGGCCCGCCGAGCTACGTAAACGCGGTGGGGCAGGCAGACGCGTGGTGGCGGAGGACGCTGGACGCTTCGTGCTCGGAGTCAGAGGGGGTCACGCAGCACCCAAGACAGGCCTGAGTCCCCAACACGCACGTCTCGCAGACGACGTTTGCAGCCTGTTGCAAATACCTCAGTGGCCTCGTCACATACCCTGGTGTCCCAGGGACCCTGCCCGCACGGAGCTGTGACAGTGACTCCCTGTGGCCTGCAGGGCTGAGCCCACGACCAACCTCAACCCAAAAGATGCAGCTACTGTCACCCGCCAGACCCGCCCTCAGGGCCGTCACCCTGCGGGCAGGGGCAGCCTCTGCTGTGCGACCCATCACTGAAACTGCTCGTCAGGGACACGGGAAGCATTTGCGAGGACGAGGAAGAAGCTCTCAGAGGGATGTTAGGCCCTGGGAACCCATGATCCAGGCGGGCCCCACGACAGGGCGCCATCTGCCCCCCACGCTGGGAGACGGCTCGGCACTGGGCGGGGGCCGAGTCTGAGGGCGACTTTGGGTCCAAGCGTCCACCCGCATGAGGGATGGGCTGAGGAGCCCCCATCCAGGACAGGATCCAGCTGGCCACTCAGCCCACAGCCCGGCGGCAGTGGAGGCCACAGCCCGCATTCGGCACACCGAGGCCCGCTGCAGCCTGGCCTCGGGCGCAGACGCGGCCGAGTTCATTAGGTCGGGCACACCGCTCACGGTCCTCCCTGTGCCCCCATCTGCCTCCGCCTGGCCCTCTGGGGAGCATGGGGACCTGGGCCTCCCTCGCGGACCCCACCTGTGCAGTGCCGAGTCCCCATCCTGGCGCAGAGGCTGAGCCTCCGCCCTGGAGCTGCGGCCCTGGTCCTGTGAGCTCGCGTGGGGGCCGGTGCAGGGCCCCTGCAGAGACGGGGAGGCCCACACCCGCGGCCAGCCGCTGGGCCTTTGAGGGGAGCCCAGGGCAGCCTCGAGCCCACAGCAGGACCCGAGCCACGGGGGGCTGAGTGGTGGGCTCTGTCACACAGGAAGGGGCAGGGACGGCTGTCACAGGCTGTGACTCCATGACCAGACAGCAAGGAGCAGTCCCACCGGCGGAGGCGGAGTGTCTTGTGTTGTTTGGGAGGCGGTGCGGCCGGCGGGTCCTCGGCCCCTCTGCTCACACGGGGGACAGGTCCATGCGGTGGGCAGACTGGCTGCTCTTGTCCCAAGGGCCGAGCTTGGTGGAGGCTGTGCCCGGCCGGGTCCCGTTCACCTGCAAACCACGCAGGGCGGGTGAGGACTCACCAAGTCGAGAGGGCGGAGCCTCGGGCCCGGAAGTCGGGGAGGGTCCTCCCTCGGGGCCCCACTGCTCCCCAGAAACGAGGCTCCTGAACCCCAGAGCGCACCTTCTCCCGCCCGCTCTGCACTGACTTCTGGGTCTGGCGTGCATTCACTCACTCACACATCATTCATTCATCTACCATTCACTCACTCACGGCCACGTGCTCCCCCCTGCACCATCCATCCATCCATCCATCCATCCATTCATTCGTTCATCTCTCATGTGCGCGTTCACTCCCCCTCCGTCTGCTCATTCCACACCGTGACTGGGCTCTGACGGACTACGGGGTCATGGGGACCAAGCCCAGCAGGCCCTGGCCCCACGGATCGCCGTTCCTGTGGGGGGCGGGCAGTGGGCAACAAGCGCACGGTGAGCGAGTGGCAGAGACTGGGGGTCCGTGACACTGAAACGGGCGGGAGCACCCTCGGTGCTGCCTGGGGCCACTTCCCGAGGACGTGACACCAGAGTGGGCCCTGGAGGTCAGCCGGGAGGACACTGCCTGCTCCAGGCTGCCTGGGGGCCCTGCCCGGGGGGCTGGAGGACGGGGGGCGATCGCCACCTCCCGCAGGAGGAGGGCGATGAAGCCCAGGCTGAAGGGGGCTCGTTTGGACTCTGGGCATCAAGCCCCCGTTTCTCGGGCGTGCGCAGGGCGGAGACCGGACTCAGAGGGCCGCTGCGGAAGGCCCACGCGCTGGCGGCCCTGGCGGCTGGGACACCATCGCACACGCGTCTGCGTGTCAGGGGCTCAGTGTGTCCTTCTGTCCCCAAGTCAACGCAAGAAGTGCTGAGCCTGGGGAAGGGCAGGAGCGAGGAACACGTGCTCCTCCAGGACGGGGGGCCGGTCGGGGTGCACCGCCGGCCCCAGGCGCCACGGCCAGCAGGCCCACGCCAGGCCGGACAGGGAGGATGGAGCCTGCCTGCAGGGCACCGACCCTGCGGGGGAGCTGGGCTGGGGTGGGACAGGCGGGGCTGTGGCCTCGGCTCCACCGGGTCCTTGGTACAGCGGTGGCTGTGTGCGGCTAGGCGAAGCCGCGGAGCGACTCGCAGCCAGCTGGCGGGTGGCCCTCCAGGTGACGGTGACAGAGAAGCGCCTGGGCTCGGGGGCTGGTGAGGCGGGACCCGCAGGAAGGCCGCAGATGAGAGGCTGCGGTGCACTCACCGCGTCGGAGCTGGAGGGTTTCGCGTGGGCGTGGCGGCCGGAGCTGCTGCTCAGGGACCAGACCTTGGTTTTGTGCTTGAAGGCGGCTCTCACCTTCGAGTGGAGAAGAGGGTGCGTTAGAGGTGATGCCAGAGGCTGAACGGAGGTCCGTCCCCCTGAAGGTCTCGGGCATCTGCTGACATGGGGCCCCGAAGAGCAGGCGCGGGGGAGGGGCGGGGTCTGGAAACAGGGGACCCGTCACAGTGGCGGGCCCACTTGGCAGGCCCACGCTGTGGCCCCGGCACTGTACAGGGCTACACGGGCGGAGGAGCTGGGTCCGGCAGGGTCTCTGCCGGCCCCTCGCACCCTGGCCGGGGAGATGG